CTCAGCGGCCATGGCTCACGGGCCCAGCCGCTCCACGGTATGTGGGATCCTCCCGTAGCGGGGCACGAACCCGCGTCTCCTGCATCAGCAGGCGGACTCTCAACCACCGCGCCACCAGGGAAGCCCCTCCGAAAATTTTTAGCCAGAATTAATTGCTCCTTCTTGGGCACTTCCTAAGCTGTTGACTTGTATTTTCGTCATGACACTTAGCACAATGTCTTCAACGATAATCAACTGTTTATATGCTTTTTTCTCCGACTAGATAAGGTCTTGGTGGTGGAGAAATTGTCTTACTCACTTTAAAAAAGCCATCTAGCATTGTGACGAACATAATAGACATGTAATAAGTGTTTGTTAAAAAGGGTTTTGACAAGTATACCTTGCCAAGTCAGCAGAATTATTATTATTATTATTATAACTACTCCTATATGTGCCTTTACAGGGCATAATTGCATGGGTTGTTGGCATGAATTCGAGTAGAGCTGGGTGGGGTTTGAACGGAGCAACCCACACAGGGAATTATTTACATAAATTCTGGCTTCATATAATTTTGTTTTCTCTTTGCATTATTCCCTTACACTAAAATCCACACATTAATGCAGCAAGTATTCTTACAGCTTTTAATTGGGTCAGATGTGAATTATTATGGAGTCTGCAAAAAGCCTTCTAATCTCCCATGTTGTTACCATATGACAAATGAGGCTTATAGAAGTAACTGATTAGGTTCTTGTCTAAATTTCAGCTAGAACTTGGGATTTATTTATCCATGTATTCTTAAAAATAATTTCAATGTGTTTTTGCTATGTGCTAGACACTTGCTAGGCACTGGACAATGGTAGTGGGGATCCATAGTATTCAAGACAAGTATTTTGTATGGATAAACAGGAATCTAAACTAAGAGGCCAAAAGAAAAAACAAAACCCAAAGCAAAACAAAAACAAACAAAAACAAACGCTGTGGTTCCTCTGAATGAATTTGGAAACAGAGCTGGGGATCTTTGATCCTAGTTTAACACACTAGTGATTTTTTTCTTTTTGTGGTAATTGGATCTATCAACTTGAATGAAGGTAGTCGTCATATTAGGGTATGTCTATTGCAGTGATGGAAAATCTGCATTTAAAACATATGGGGCTTACTCTTAAGAGGAATTTCACTCTAAGACAAAGGGATAAAGAGAAGAGTGGTTGGGCCACGAGAAACTGCTAAGAATTATTGTCATTTTCAAGACTGAACTTGGGCAAGTAACCTAACCTTGTTAGCTTAACTGTAAAACTGGGATAATAACAGACTGTCCCTAGATTTCCTTGGAGAATTAGATTTACAAACTCAGGAAGAAACTATGCTGTCTTTCCAATTTTGTGGATGGATCAATTTGACGTCCATAGATACTATTAGAGGTATATGCGAAAAATACAAATCAATTATTTTCTCTCTTGAAATTCACTAGAGTGACCCAGCGACCATAGTTCTGGAGTGTAAGGAATGAGGGGCACCAGAGAAATATGTATTTCTTTATCTGATTTTGTATGTGTGATATATGGATATTTCTCATCAATTTATGGTGTTTCAAATGTATCCTTAAAGCATAAATTTTTTAATGAGACATACATTTTTATTTTCCATATCTTCTTTGTAAACCTCTGAAATCACCTCATGTATTTCATTTAAAACAAAAATATTTTAAAATTGAGAAGCTATGCATGCAATTTCTTTCAAAACACAAAGCTTACAAATTTGCATCAAAATAAAAAATCAAGACTGCTTAATTGAAACCTTGACACCATCAACCTCTTTAATTATGTGTTAAAGAGACAGGCATCCTGGGGATACCAACTTAAAATCAGGGTATATTTTGAGGGTTTCTGTTGTGTGTACATATGTAATTCACAGAAGGGGAAAAAAGAGGTGCTGACATAGAAAAGAAAGAGATGATATAAAATTTCTCTAGACATGAATCCTTTCACAGGTTAAAAACAGTTAGGAAGAGGGCAAATTTGTCTTTTCAGAAGAAGAACACAGAACAGAAATTTAGGACAAAATGTTTCACCTCTTTGCTAGGTCTAAATTTCAGTGAATGCTCTTTTTTGAAACAACAAAGATTTTTTACAATACTAATTGTTACTTAGAAAACACAGTTCTAAGGCTTGACTACTGGTTGCTTGGATGTATTCTATAGACCATACTGAGTAAATGGAGGAGAAGAAGGATGTTTATTATAAATTTCGCAGTAAAATGACTGCTTTTCTTTACATCTTAATTCTTGTTGTCTTCGCTCTTCTGTGCCTATTCCCGATTTCTTTTCCTAATGTGGAACCCAGCAGCTCTTTGTTCTCATTGTGTCTGTTGTCTCCCTTTCTTTGTGTTGCAGGGATACTGCTACCCACATCTGCCACTGAGCATGCGGAAAATCCTTCAATAGATTCTTTACTTAGGACTTTCAGTAGTATTACTCCACTTCTCCAGGTTTTAGTAATAACCAGTATATCTAGAAGATAGACTGAAACTTGGAAAGGTGATGGGTGATACAGGTGGTTAGGTGGTGGTCTAGCAAGCTGGGACACCAGATAGGAAGGCTCAGGGTAGTTATCACACATATTTATCCAATTTACGGAAGATCTCACCAAGCTAGTTAAATGCAGATCACTCACCCTACACACAGAAGTTGGAGATATAGATTGACAACTGACAAGACACAAGTGTTTCTGAGCAGGAAGCCACAGAGCTGTATCTAAAACCAACGGATACAATAACCAGTTCCAGAGGGATGTGGTACATTGACACAAAGATTGGTATGTAAAGTCTCAGAGCAGGGACCTTCACTAGATAGTATGTCATCTGAGGATGAGAACCAGTTGTGTGGAGGTTTCTCATAATAAAATCTCAGACTTTTCTCTGTGTTAAACACCCCAAAATGCTACATCAATATCAATTGAATGAAAAGACTCAATTCTTCTGCTTAAGCCACCCCTCACCCCGCTTTTACAAGCAGATCTACCAATAATTTCCAGAAGGTGTAAGAAAAGGCAAGTTTGCAGGTGAGATTCGGGGTATCGGGGTCGAGCTCTGAGGTTTTCTCTTTTTCTTCCCCAACCTCACGCCAGCAAGTCTGACCTAATAGCTTGTAAATTATTTAACAGATGGAACACCATTCAACTTTACTCATGTTTCTCCCGTAATGACTTTTGCCTGTTTTGTTCACTTGAATGCATGGCCAGCTCTTCGAATGGTATCTGGCACAGAGTTAGGTGCTCAAAGATCTTTTGTTTAATGAACGTATATAGTATAAAAATGTTTTTCTTTTATTGCGGCAAACATTGGTGGTAATACAATAGTTCAAACCGGACAGTTTTAGAAAAAACTGAACACCTGGCTCTTTAGTGGGGGGAAGGCCACTCTCCCCCCTCTTAGTGAGAAGGAGATTTTCTTTCTCCTCGGCCTCTTCTCTCCCACCATTTTGTTTTTGTATTACCAATCAAGGGATTAATAGCATCACCTCAAAGCCTTTCCGTTCCACGTTTTTACTTTTTGGTTCTTACGATACCGTTTCCCGGTCTTTTGGTTTTCTATAGGTTTAACTAGCTAGTGGCTGGTAGACGATACGGTTAAGCCCAAGTGCTCTTGTAAGGTAGCGAACCGGCGGGCAAACGCCGCCCTCCTGCAGGGCAGGCACCTGCTGCGGCTGCTTTTTCTAGAAACCCGCCCCTAGCTCCGAAGTCAGCTCAGTTCGCTCCCTCCCCCGCGGCGGGAGGAAGTGCCGGTGGCGGGAAAGTTCGGGCCAGGTCCAATCAGGCACCTGGGATTGGGTAGCGCGACCGGGGGCGGTGGCCCCCGGACCCCAGCCCGCGCTCCCGGCCCCGCCCCTCGGGAACGCCTCGCCCCCCGGCTGGTCCGATACCCCCGCCCCGCCCACCCGGCGCCCGCGCCCCGCCCCGCCCGGGGGCCGCGGCTAAAACCCGGAGCCGCCGCAGCGCCCAAGGGACTGGAGGGAGGCTCTGAGCATGTGCAGAGCAGCGCGGCGGCGGCTGCCTCGGAGAGAGGCAGCGGCCCGGTGCTGATGCGAACAGCCGCCTCGGCCTCTGCCCCAGCGTAGTCGGCCCCCGGGCCGGGGCGGCAGCGAAGGACCCGTAGCCTCCCCGCGGCCCGAGGAGCCGGCGCGTCGGCGCGTACCCCGCCCCTCCCCACCCCCGGCGGCCGCGGCGCCCTCGGGGACCACGATGATGGCGGAGCAGGTGAAATGCGCCTCGGCGGGGGGCGGCTCCGGAGCGGGCTCTGGGCCGGTGGTGAACGCGGAGCTGGAGGTGAAGAAGCTGCAGGAGCTGGTGCGCAAGCTGGAGAAGCAGAACGAGCAGCTGCGGAGCCGGGCGGCCAGCGCGGCCGCCGCACCGCACCTGCTGCTGCTGCCGCCGCCGCCCCCCGCCGCGCCGCCCCCCGCTGGGGCCTGCAGCCCGTTGGCTCCGCGGAGCCCCCCGGCCGCCGCTGCCGCCGCCTCGGGGGGACTGGGGCTGGGGCTGGCGTTGGGCGCGGGGGGCGGAGGCGGGGGCGGCAGCGGTGGCTCTGGCCCCGCGTTCCCGGGGACCTACTGCCTGCCCGGCCCGGCGCCTTCCCTGCTCTGCAGCCTGGCGCAGCCCCCCGAGGCGCCCTTCGTCTACTTCAAGCCGGCGGCGGGCTTCTTCGGCGCGGGCGGCTGCGGCCCGGAGCCGGTGGGCGCGGGGACACCTCCCGGGGCCGCCGCCGCGCCGCCCTCGCCGACCCCCACGCTGCTGGACGAGGTGGAGCCGCTGGACCTGGAGAGCGTGGCCGCCTGGCGGGACGAGGACGACTGCACCTGGTATTGCCGAGCTCCGCTCCCTCCCTCGGGGTCCTCGCCTGCGACGCCCGGGGAGGGCGAGGGCTGGCAGGAAGAGGGGGATCTCAGCCACTGCCCCCAGACGGGGTGACCTGGCACGTGCCGAGCCGGGCGATGAGCGGAGGCTGTTCACCAGGGTGGAAACCTATTTTGTTACAGCTCAGGCCGACCCATCTGGGGATGAACTGGTCCTTTTCCTCTCCTGTGTTGTCGTCTTTGCTGATGATTGGGTGCCACGCTCCTCGTTAGCATTAACTGCAAAATCCATGCTATCTTGTCTTTTTGTCACTCAGTCGTGTTCTTTTTCCTCAGTCTTTTTTGGGAGTGGCGGGGGATGGGTAGGGGTTGGCCTCCATCTGCGACTGTTACTGTTTTGTCCTCCCAGACCAAGGCCGGACAGGATTTGCGTGCTGTCCCTACCTCCTCGGCACCCCAAGGCGCCTAGTGATGCATGGAGGAGTGATGAATCTCTCCTTAAGAGATTCGTTCTTACTGTTTGAGTTGTTCAGTGGTTTGTCCTCATTCGCTGCATCTTCTTTGATAGCTTCTCACTTCAGAAACAGGCTCGCTTTTTCCAGTGTGCTGACCTCACTGGCTTTCCCATCAGTAACGGTGTAAAAAAAAAAATGAAGGCTTTTTGGGGAATGGAGTGAGCAGCTTGAAGGCACTCTGTTACCTAGGACCCAAGGAACTTGCTTTAATTTAAAAAGTTAAACTGGTGATTGAAGAAAAGTGAGATTAGAGAAACTTTTTTTTTAGTTTTTAGAGACTTGAGGCTGGCAGCATTCAGTTGAAATCTGGTTAGCTCTGTCTGCTTCCCTTCAGTGAGTACCTTGCGGCGGGGAGGGGAGAGGGGTGTTCTGATTCCTTTATTTGTTTCTAATGGTGCTTGCTCATAGGGTAGCAGTCACTTCATGACTTCTTTTGGTTGGTTCGCATGTTTTCCTCAGTCGTTAGAGGTAGTGTGATGTGGTCAGATGAATAGAAGCTTCAGATCAGGTGGGACTTAGGTTCACGCAGGGAGAATGAAAAGCATTCACCTGTACGTAGCAGTAGCATGAAGAGTAATTGTAGTTCTTTTAATCTTAGGTCCTCTTCCTGTTTTCCAAGCTGGGTCTTCCTCACTTTCTTTGTGTTTATGTTGGGTGATTGCTCAGGAGGGAATGGCAGATGGAGAACCTTGCTGGTTTCCCATTAGGAACTGTGGTGGTCCTTTTCTCTTGCACTTTTTTATGTTGAGAACTCTAACCGTAAAGTACATTAATTGGTTTGATTCTGAGAATCAAAATACAGGGAGCTATAATAAGGCATAGTCATCCTTCTGCTTAGTACTTTTCGGCAACGGGGCAGGTAACTCAGGTTGTAAAAATCAAAACAACTCGCCACTTCCTGGAACTTTAAGCCATTCTTTAGAAGCTGCACCTTTATTTTTGTAAAGTCCAGGCTGTGTTGTAATCTCAGATTCAGCCTGAATATGGTACCAGAAAATGTTCTCATGATGGTGCTTAGGTTGTTACTAATAACTGTAAGCCCTTATGCCACTTTCAAATTATTTTAGATTGATTTAGTCCCCACTTGGCCTTTTCTGGAGATACGTACTTAAATAATAGAAGGAAACTTGCTGTATTTTGGCTGAGGATCAATCCTGTGCTTTAAAACTATTAGCACTCTAAAATTGATCATGATACACTATTTTATATTTTATATTAGATTTGTGCTAGTACAGTGAATATAATTGTAATATTTTCTTTTATTAAATGGACTTCTACCATATTTAGTTATCCTCCAACTATTGCTAGTATTTTGATATCTTAGGCTTTCCTTTTGTAGTTATTTTTTGTTAAAACATCATTAAAATAACTAAAAAAAATCACCTACTTGGTGAGATTAGCCTAGTAGCACTTCAGATGGTTTGAAGCAAATCTAACCAGGTTTGATTTGCAGCAGGTTCTACTAATTTCACTCATCAGGTATATCTGTGAATGACTAAATCAATGCCTTGACACCTTACAGATGTTTCTGTAGACAAATGGCACACTGTTTATGCAGTATCTTCCTCAAAACAAACCCAGGGTTAGAATCCCAGGTGGAAAAACAGGGAGGGATCATTAATCTTAGTGGGATGGACTTAAAATTTTTGTAAGGTCACCTGATTTATAGAAAACTTTCTATCAGAGCATTTTTATACATTGAGATATATTTGTATTGCAGTACTTGGCCTCTTTGTTCATCACCAGTCAACAGGGTTTAATTTTCAAAGCTAAACCCACTTGTATAATGCTTGCAGAGCCTTCTGATGTTCCTTCATCACTGCAAACCGCGTGTCCCTGCCTGATGCTGTCATCAATAGAGTGCTTTTCATTTGGTTTCCCTGATAATGTTTGCAGGAAGGCTACTTATTTTTATCTTCCCTGTTTATTAAGAAACAACTAAAGCGGATAATATGTACCTGATTATTTTAAATTATTTATGAATTTATAAATTATTTATAAATTTTTAAAACTTTTATAAAGTGGATAATATGTACCAGATTATTTTAAATTATTTATAAATTTATAAAGTCACAAAAGTCTTCCGTCTTGTCCTCAATTTACTACTGTGACTCAGAGTGAACCCTGTTAACCTTCTGTAGATCCTTCAAGGTAAAAACATAGTTATACAAATCAATGTGCAAATATGTCCACATCAGTTTTTTTACACTTACCTTTCATTGGACACATCTTGGAGATCTTTGTTTCCCTATAACAGTTGCATCATCGTTAACAGTAACTTGGTCCTTAATAATGTTACTTTAACTGTATCACCTACAATTTTTCATACATTTTTATCATGATTTCATCCTAATGGGTTAAACAAAATTAATAATTTATTTAGAATAGCACTTCCTGCTAAAATGTCAGATCCTTAGGAAAGGAAGTTCACAAATGTAGGTTAATCATTGAATGTTTTAGAAGTTCTTTCACGTAAGTCTGTTTTTTCTAATACAATCTTAGAATGTACAGCCTGGACAGCACTTGGCTCAAGAGTTATGTGCGAAAGAAAAAAGTGAATGATGGAAGAGTATTTGCTTGATGATAGTTCATTAGTTAGTGAATGATCAGTCAGGTCTCAGGCCTTTTTTCCAAACAATTATTTAACCTGTAAGTTTCTTCTGTTTATTGAAAAAAAAACTTTGATGCAAGAAGAATGATGTATTCTTTTTGTTTTGATGAAAAGCTTTGAAACAAAACAATTGTCTTATTTCTTCAAATATTTATCTTAGTTGAATTTAAAGTATGTAATTTTGCCTTAATACAATCTGGTTATATTAGCACAGTGCTGCTAAAATTCAGTGTCTCAGAAAATTAAAGTTGACTGTGGTTTCAGAACCTTCATTCTTAAGTCCAATTATTATAATCCCATAGTAAACTTCACATCCTGCTGTATCAGTTCTTCCATTATCTTACTACTAATTTGACAGCCTTAGCTCTCCAGGAGACCGTAGGCCAGAAAGTACAGGGGAGAAACCAGGAGCAAATTAAAAAAGTTCAGAAGCGCTAAAGTCCTGATGCATACGTGGCACATGGTGTGACTGGATGATCTGCCAGTCTGTACAGGAGGATGTTTTGAAGGTCTCTGTCCCAGTGTTACCAGGCTGAGAAGCACTAGGCTAAGAAGAACCAGGGTACAAGGAGAGGGAACCAGATTGGTATGAAGTGGCAATGGGAGCAGTAAATCATTAACTGCATACTAGACCTTTCTGTGACCTATTTCAGCTCCCTAATTTCAGTGTTAAGCGCCAAGGAGAAATAACTTAGGTAAACTTCTTCAGTTATTTACTGAAAGAATTGACTAAAATTTAGACTTATTTATATGGATTCAGAAGTGTTTGCAACCATTGATGTTTTTTCCTCCAAGCATGGTTGTGACCCATTAATATGTTATAAAGTCAGTTTAGTGGACTGACTCAGTATTATTTTTTTATGAAGTTCAGTGGAATAGAAAATCAGGACCAGAGTACATTGTATCTTATAATACAAGTGTGTCTTGATTAAACTTATTTCAGTTTTATGTGTATATGTCCTGGGTTGAAATACTTAATGCATTTGTGCATTATGGCTAAAGTTAGAATAACTCCAGTTTGTACTGTTCAAAGCAAAACGGACTTGGAGAAAACAGGTAGAAGAGCACGGCTCCCTGAATATAGTGTAGTGCCGGGGTAGGTCAGAACCTGCTCACCTCAACCAGAAGACGAGTCTGTATTCAGACAATGCCAAGATTAAAACATGCCAACTGGTATAAAATACAGCTATAAAAGGAGGCATTTATTTTTAAAAGAGATGTGGCAGGGACTTTAACTTGCCCAACTGGAAAGGACAGGAGAAACGTTCTTTTTTTTTTTTTTTTTTTAACATCTTTATTGGAGTATAATTGCTTTACAATGGTGTGTTAGTTTCTGCTCTATAACAAAGTGAATCAGCTATACGTATACATATATCCCCATATTGCCTCCCTCCCACCCTCCCTATCCCACCCCTCTAGGTGGTCACAAAGCACCAGCACTGAGCTGATCTCCCTGTGCTATGCGGCTGCTTCCCACTAGCTATCTGTTTTCTGTTTGGTAGTGTATATATTAGTCCATGCCACTCTAGGAGAAAAGTTCTTAATGATACAAGGGGAAAATGGTGATATCTACAAATTAAGGAAAATTTAATGAATGAGATATTCATCTTCCATGTGTAACACCAAGACCCTGGACAGCTGGCCAAAGTCATTGCCAATTTTTCATGAGAGCTGTTGAACACCTTGTACTATACATATGGCACAGCTAAATTAGACCACCTAGGCTGTTTTTTTGCATAATTGATTTTCAGTGGAAAGACCAGAGGGTGCTTCACTTTCTGACAGTGCTGATAGAAAATGCGCAGTGTTTTCTAGGAGCAAGTGGAGTTGACTGAAGCCTGTGCTGATGTGTCTTTCAAATGAGTAAATTTGAAACACTG